TTCTGCATGAGTGCTGCATTCAAGCGGTCCAGTTGTTGGCAGTACAGGTCCGAACTGAGCGTTTGGGCATTGGTTCAAAAACGGGTCGATTTTTCTGCGGTGATTCGCCTGCGTCGTATGGTCAAAAATTATTTTTTGTGTCAAGTCGCGTGGCACCCATACATCGAGCTCAGGCCCGGATTTACCACAGGGCAACCGGGGCATAATGTTTTTTTTTTAAATTTGAAAAATTTCGAATGCTACGAGGGGCCGTTCATAAACCTAGTGACGCTCATTTTCGGGTATTTTGAACACATAGCAAAAATACCTTTTATAATATTAAAAAAATTATAGAATAAAATGTCGGATCACGTATTCCAAAATTGAATATAAATGTATTTGATTATTACATAAAATTTGTAAGAAATAAGTTGAAAGTTTTTAAGTTAAAAAAATAATAGCGTTTATAATTTTTGCTGGATTATAAGACCAATCTTTCAAAAGAAGTATCATTTTTTTAATAAAAATAAGATACGTTTTTCTTATATATATATTTATATATTTATATATAATTTTAATAATTTTATCCCCGCAATGCCATTACATTATGTTTGTTCAAATTGGCGCAATTGGCAACAAAATAAGGTTTTTCCCACAAATCTGAAATGTCAAGAAGAATTTTTAGTAAGAAATTACATAGATTTTCTGCATTATTACAACAAAAAAGGTTACAAAAAATTTGTTGCAAAGGTGCAGCCACGATCGGATGAGGAGCCAAAGAGGAGGAAGCGTGATGTATCTATAGCTTGGGATCATTTCAAAAAAACAGTCGAGAAAACTCATGGAATTTGAAACTACTGTGGTAAGGCTATAAAGACAGCGGGCAAATCTTATCTTATGAACCATTTGAAACACGTTCATGGTAATCGCCTAAAAGTCGGAACTGGCCAAAAATGAACAGCAATGGAAACTTTTCTTGCAAAATCTCATGCATTTTACAATAGTGATTTCGCTTGAAAACGTATCCTGGATAATAAGGTTATGAAAATGATAGCAGTCTATGTTCAACCTTTTTCATGCAGTAATCACAACGCAAGAAATGCCAACTCGCTGGAACAGCGCATTTGAAATGGTCAAGCGAATCCTTAAGACCAACGAGTGCATTACATTGGCTTTGGTATCTTCGCTTAACGCTCCACCGCCCTTCTCTGAAGCAGAAGTCGACATTTTACAAGACATATCGGGATTGCTATCACCCTTTGGAGACGCTACGATTTCTGTTTCATCAAATCAAAATGTATCAGTTTCTTTAATTATACCAGTTATATGCAAACTGCATCATAAAATTAACAATATTAAATTGAAAACAGAAGTAGGCAAAACCAAAACCACCCCTTGCTTACTGGCAGGTAAGAAACTATGCAATGCTATATATTTTCCTATTTTTTGAATAAAATATTGTATTTTCGATGACTACAGATGGTGACGCCTTTAAGACATAGGCTAAAAAATATTTCTGTGTACCAGCATCTTCTTGTGAGTCTGAAAGAGTATTCAGTAAGGCTGGGCAACTCATAAGGCTGGCCAACTCATAAGCTTGAAGTTGCTCTCAATTCGTCAAATGTTGCCGCATATCATTGTTACTGCCGCATACCAGATACTGCATTAAATCAAATTTCAAATTAATTTTTAATTTGATTCATATAATAAGAATATTTTTTTTTTTCATATAACAGAAATAAAAAATTTAATTTCAATACAACAACAATAATTTCAATTATTATTTTCTTCCTCTTCAAACTTCAAAAATGCTACCAGAGCGACTACGTAGTTGCTACGAGAGCGACTATGCAGTTGCTACGAGAGCACAATATTATTTTCTTAGGCTCTGCTCTCATCTCGCTGTCGATGCTTGTGCTATTGCTACAACTACAAATAGCGTGTCGCGCATTTTCTTGCAATTGCTATTGCTCCGTGCTCCGACGTTCAGTGCTACAGAGCAGAACAGAGAGCAGCCGTTTTGATTTTGTGCTCTCTGCTATGCTACAGAGTCGATCGAAAAAAGAGCAATAGCGGGAGCAAAAACAAAAACTCTGATGTAGCAAAGCATTTTCAATCACTGACTCGGCTATCATCGATCGTTGTCGACAAACTTTTATTTTTCAACAAAAGCAAACATTTAAATAATATGTAAATATGTATATATGTATATAATAGTAAATTAAGAATACTATAGAAGAAAAAGTAGTATAAGGAAAGTGGAATGTATGTATATAACAATCTGTTTTTATATTTTTTAGTTTTGTTTTTATTTTAAAGGTAAATAATAAAATGGATAATTTTGTTTATGTTGGAAATTATACTTTTTTTTAACTTTATTACAACTTAAAATGAACCAAAAGCACTAAATATTGCTTTTTATTTAAAACATCGATGTTTCATCGATGTTTAGCGCCAAAAACATCGAATACATCGATGGTCCGCGAACATCGATGTTTCTCCACCTCTATCAGACACACTGCTCAACTTGGTACAGAATTAGGGATGTGAAAAATATATCAAAATATCGATATATCGATATTTTTTGAGTAAAAATAAATATTTTTATCATAATATTTTATTCTACTTATTTATCGAATATCGATTTATTTTAAAGATATATTTTTGATATTTCTATTCGAACTAAAATTATTTTTAGGCCTTCCATTCACGTCGTGGGAAAGCGATCCTCTAGGTTTTTGGATCGCACAATCCGAAACATTGCCAGGGCTTTCCAAATTAGCACTGGGGTATCTAATAACGCCAGGTAGTTCTGTGCCGTCGGAGAGGCTGGCCTCCGCCATCAAATGCGTTGTGTGTGACACGAGAAGTCGTATGACAGACCTTCACGTAACTCAAAGAGTATTCCTAAAATCTTTAAAAAATGAATTTTGGTGTTAAATTAAAATGAAAATGATTTTTAAAATAACTTCGGCATAAGAATACTAGGCATAAGAAATATTTAGATGTAAAATGTAAAAAGAAGCACTTAATTGAATAATGTTATGATTTTTATAGTTTAGTTTAATAAAAAAAACAAAATGAAAACAAAAAATTTATTTTGGGGATTTAAAAATAAAAAAAAATGGTTTTAAAAAAAATATCAAAAATACTCGATATATCGATTTTTTCGGGTGATAAATATTTTATCAAATTAAATATTTTTTAAAAATTTGATATATCATCGATACGATATTTTTTAAATATTTTCACAACCCTAGTACAGAAGTTCAATCTGTGTTGCTTTGAAATTCAGAGTGACCAAGGAAAACATATCCATAAATATCAAAAACAAACATCAATGTTTCGATATTTAGGCAAAAAATATTATGATATAAATATATCGTTATATAGTTTTTACTCGTCAAACATGGTTCTTCGATCTCAGTAGTCACATATGTATAGTTTTTTATAACTGTATATAAATACTTATGTATATTGCATTGATTCGTCCCCATAGACAACATTTTTTCGCCAGTATTTTATTTCAATGTTTTTCGTTTGATTATAGTCTAGTTTTTGTAGCCTATTAAATATTTTTCAATTATATATTGTAAATAATTTATAAACAGCAATATTCCATGTCCAGATTTGAGCAGAAAAATATTTTTTTATAGATTGGATTTTTTTATTGATATAATTTTTTCTTGAACGAAAAATGTTTGTTGTCGCTACTAAGCAACATTTTAAATGTGCTATTCGTTATCAAATAATATTAAACTAATAAAATATAAAATAGTAACACAAGAATAATATACAATAAATATTAATACGAATTTAAATCAAAAAATTTGTATTTTTCTTCGCCTTTAGAAGTCTAAATTTTTTTTATGGTTGCGCCATGTCAAGCAGGCCTTGAACATTTTTTTTTTTATATTAAGGCCTAGTATTCAGATTGAAAAACCAGTGTGATCGAATATTTTCAAGTTACACAATACGTTCTCTCATAAAATTGATTTTAATTGAAAAATTGGAACAACAATTTTAGAAACAATTGATTTAAATATATCTTCGATTATCAGAGACCTATTTTTTATAATTATATTTGGCTGTACAAATATTTAATATCATGGTTTTTGTTAAAATTTACCCTGAATATATAATTTCCGGCACATCGAATTCATCAACTTTAGTTTGTTTGGCAAGCGTTTACATCGATTTCCTGCCGTATCTTGCAATATCTTGCAAGCCTATCACTGACCCTGTCAAACGGGATCGAAGATTAAAATGGTGAATCTTTTCGCTAGACCTGTAAATCGTTCATTGGTGCTGGTTGGCAATCCCATGCAAATTTCTGGTATTTTTTTTAATCTGAAAGACGTAGGGAAAAGACCCTGTAAATAACTGTTTTACACATATTTGCTTTTTAGTCACACACATATCTAAAAAACAGCTTTTGTCGATCTAAGTACTAGTGCTAAATTTACGTTTTTTTTAAGGAAACCTTTTAAGATTATTAGTCTGCTAAAAAAAAATATTTTCCGTATTTTTAAAAAATTTTTCAAAATTAAAAAAAAAACATTCTTTATGGCTCAAAAATAAGCTGGGCTATTGTTAAGACTTTTATCGTTAAGAGTCGGTAAAAAAAATAAAAAGTCGGTAATCTCTTCAAATTTAAATCCCGATAACCATTATGCATACAATATTTTTGGACTAGAAGATTTGTGCATGAAAATACCTTTTGATTGAAATTTGAAACGTAATTATTAAAAATATTAAATATAAAAATTTTAGAAGTAGCCCACTTGACATGGCGCTACCCAATTGTTTCTTCGTTTACTGCAGTTTAAGGAAAAAACTGTTACAAAAAAACTACTGCATTGCAGTATTTCCAAGAAGTTGCATCAAATGCAAAAGTGCAAATTTGCATGTTAAAAGTAAAATGCGTATGGTATGAACAGAATGTTCTCCTAACTTTGTGAGCATACAAGCAATTGTCCAGTAAACCGCTTGCATTATTTAACACATTCGTCGTTACACTTTTTTAGTGTTGGATAAAGACCGAGCATATGTATACATATTTGTCAATCTCATTTTAAGCCTTTGTACATTTTAATAAAGATTCTGTTTAATAAAGACTTTTGTTCAAAAGTGAAAACATAAATGTTTTAAATTTGTGAAAATGACGAACGAAGCAATCAGATGAGAGTGTGACTGCTAAAATGCATTGAGCAATTCTACTATACAAACCAGTACTAACGTTTTGTTAAACTTCAAAAGATGTTGCGAAAATACCTATTTGAAACAGGCGTAATATCATTTATTTTTGCGTTCTTCGTAAACTTAGTCATTTTGCGAAATACAAATTTTACTGTGCTCTGTACCAAAGAAATTCCACTCCAGACGCAGTTTTCTTCAATTGATATTGTTGCTCAATTTAACTTGCCTAATAGCGCTGGACTAGAACCAAAGATTACCAACGTGTCGAGAGTAACTAATTTTAGAAATCGGTCCAGTGATGATGTTGCAAGAAACGCACAATCAAGGAATTATTTTACGCACCTTAGTTATGATTTTATACATAATGTTTTATTTGCGGGGGCTACAAACAAAATATTAAAACTTAACGAAAACTTGCGTGTGCTGTCTGAAGCTATTACTGGACCAGTAAACGATTCGCCTCAATGTCATGCAGGTGGCTGTCCCGAAGACATCGAAACTTCGTTAGTTAATAACTACAATAAAATCCTTGTAGTTAGCTACTCTCACGACGGGATTCTTATATCATGTGGCAGCATTCGACAAGGTAATGTTTAAATACATAGAGAAAATTCTTTTCTTAGAAAGTATTGAAAGGGAAAATCAAATAAAATTGCCCTTACCAGTTAGATCTTTTCGATACCTTTTAAAACTTGAAACTTTAAAAATTTTAGAACTTTTTTTTAAGCTGCTATGATTGATCTCATCGCGATCTTCCACAACTGCGTTTGCCCATGGTGTTATGGCTTGCCACTTTTCATTGGCCGTCTAAGTCCTTTAGCTGTTACATATATAATTTATTAATCGGAAATACCATAACTTCGGTATTTTTATACCCTTGAAGAGGGAATTATAACTTCGGTCAAAAGTGTGAAACGCAGTTAAGGAGATATATCCGACCCTATATACCATATTAACACATACATATGTATTTATGTCTGTTCGTTTCTACGCAAACCTGTCTCTCAGTTCGAAAGCATTCGTCTTTAAAGCTTATCAGCTGCTTCAGCAGCTAAATAAGTCCCCAAAGGGAACTCGGCTGAGCTTTAGCCTGCTCAGCCAACAATTACTCAGCAGCTGATATATGTATGTATCTGGGTCGCCGTCTAAATTTCTTAGTATACGAGGGTATATATTGCTGGCCTAATAATGAAAATGCGAATATTTATGACTAAAAATGGTTTTGTTTTTCAAAGTATTCTCCAGAAAAACGTATACTCTTTTGCATGCGGTCAAACCAATTGTCGAAGCACGTTGTCCACTCCGATTGAGACACCTCCAAAACATGGTTTTGGAACTCTTCAACAGCATCTTCTGGCGTCGAAAATTGTTGACCACGCATTTTTCTCTTGATGTGCGGGAATAAAAATAAGTCATTGGGTGCCAAGTCAGGACTGTATGGCGGATGACCCATCAATTCGACATTTTGGCCGGTCGAAAAGGCGCTGGTTTGAGCTGATGTGTGAGAGCTCGCATTGTCTAGTGCAGAATAATTCGTCTTCTCTTGTTCGTTTTTCACCGTCCGAATTTTTCCCGTCCGTTTTTCACCACCGAATTCACCGTCCTATGTTGCTAAAGCGGAACAGTCGCCACCTGACCTGTTTTACCGAAGAAACAGGCCACCATTTGCTTCGAAGTGCTTCTTCCACGAACAACTTTCGTTGGATTTGGCGCGTCTTCGAAGACCCACACGGTCGATTGCTGTTTTGTTTCGGGCTCATAAGCATAGATCCATAGAATCCATGGATTCGTCACCTGTGACGATCTTATAAACGTCTTTGAAACACCGTCCCTGTATTTTTTCAATTTTTTTTTGCATTAATCCACACGAGTCTTTTTTTTGAGCGATTGTCAAATTGGGATATGCAATATTGAATGTAGGCTGGTGGAATGCCCACGGATGCCTCTATCTCACGGTATGTCACATGACGATCTTAAATTATCAGTTCATGCACGGTGTCAATGTTCTCTGGAACAACGACTGTTTCTGGACGACCTTCAAGACCTTCGTCTTCGAGAGAGCCTCGGCCACGATTAAGGGGTTATATACAGTTGTACCGCGCAAGAATATGGAATTTTATCGATTTTTTTTTGACACCATAAAAAATATTTATGAAAAATGTTTTACCGACGTTGTTTAGTACATGTTTCTGGGTACCTAATTAAATTTTTTCATTAAAAAATATTACATAACAAAAATGTTATAGCCAAATTCCCGAATCGTCTTTTTTCGATGGTGTCTTGCGGTGGACAGGATTTCTCGAAAACGGTTCATCCGAAATCCAAAATTCAAAAAAGTTTAGTTAGTACATTGTATTGTCTAGTCCGTGAACGAGGGATTTTTAAAAATTTTGATTAACAAAAAAATGGCGACGTTTTTAACAAAAAATGTACTTTTTCAAGGTATAAGATTTTCGTTTTTTGTGCTTTAAAAAAGGAGTTTTCAAAAAAATTGAAAATCCCTCGTTCACGGACTAGCTAATATCATAATAAATAAGTGGTCGAAATTTGGTGTTGATCGGATTAGTAGTTTTTTAGTAATCGTGTCCACCGCAAAGGTAATTTCCCAAAAAAAAGATTCTGAGATAACCGCGTTTGAAGTTTCAAGTTTGTTCAAGTTTTATATGCAGATGGTGCGCTTTAAATAGCTACAGCTTCGGTTCTAATGCTCCGATCATTATGAATTTTTGTGAGAGTATTCCCAATAGAAAATACTTTAAGAATATGCAATAAAAAAAAAATCGATTTTTTCATATATCAAAACTGTATATAACCCCTTAAATACATTATAACAGTTTTTCACAGTGCAATAAGATGATGCTCAATCGCCATACAAAGATTTAAGTTTATCGTAGCACTCTTGTCGTGTTAATTCACGTCGAAAGCAGTGAAAAATGATTTCGCGAAAATGTTCACGAGTTAATTCCATTTTTTGACAAATTGATTTTTTAAAGTCACTGTAAACAACAAAAATTATGGGCGTAGGTCAAAACTAGAGATGAAACAGATATCCGGCAACTATCCGGTATCCGGCCTCCATGATACTATCCGGCCGAATACCGGTATCCGGCCTCCATGATACTATCCGGCCGAATACCGGATAGCTACGATTTGGCCGGATAGATATCCGGCCGATTTAAAAAAAAAGCTATATAAAATAAACATGTTTTTGTTCATTATTTTCTTTATTTAGTTAATCTTAAGTATTAAATTACACAATATTAAGTAAATGTGATATAAGGAAAAGGAATTAGTACATTTAGTACTCATACTGCACTAAGGGCAAATTATGATGAATAAATACTAATTTCTCTGCATTGAGAGGTAGCAGGCGGTTGCGTTTTTCTTCATAAACAAGGCCAGCTTCAGAAAAAAGTCTTTCGCTATACACACTACTACAAGGAGCAGAAAGGTAGATTTTTGCAAACCTTGCTAAATTTGGGCATTAGCTTCCCACCAAGAATAAGGGTGCGATCAATTCGCATTGACTAGAGATGAAAGTCCAGCTCACAGGTTATGGATATGGATACAACTGTTAACTTCACTCATCAACGAAAAAAAACCAAATCGAACCGAGTCCACCCGATCGTTGGCGCGACGTCTACGCAAACGGCTAAGTTTTACAAAACATTCGGATATTCGGCGGCCGGATATCCGGCTATCCGGCCAAATGGTCGGCCGAATATCCGGTATCCGACCAAACTGCTATCCGTTTCATCTCTAGTCAAAACGTTCTGAGCACGTTTCTACTAAAACATGAAAACTTCCCAATGAAAACGTCAGATGGCGCCAGGCAACACTTAGTATGGCCACTAACCATACAGCATATAGACAACCCATTTCGTAAAACGAAAATGGACGCAAAAATTTCTTGCGACAGGCCCCAGCAGGCCCCAGACCGAGTTCTTACTCTCTTTCTTACGCTCATTGTTCGATCATCTTACGCTCATTTTCTCATTGAATGCTTTCTGTTTCTCAGTCGCTAAAAGGATCGCGAGGAAGAAGGTTGGTCTGCGCTTGAATTGATCTTTGTATGTATGCGTGTCACACATTCACATACACGGGGGCATGCGTGCGTGCGATTTCGTTTCGAAGCCAGCGCACAAAATTTTGTTTTTTCTAACTTTTCAGGCTGTCTACCCTAACAAAATTCGGGTATTCGTTATTTGGTGAAATGACTAAAGGAATAATTTTATTTGTTATATTATATGATTTTCTGATTTTCAGAAACTTAATAGCCTTATCGATACATACGATTGGTCCGATATTCTGGCAAGCACTTATCTTAAAGTCACTTTAGAAAAATTTTACTGTACTTTAAATACATTTTTTGACTCCCGTGTGCCATTGAAATATCCTTCCGCTTCAACAAATCCTCCTTGGTATACAAGGTGCCTCACTAACCTAAAAAATATAAAAAAAAACCTGCAGTAGTGTTGTGCTCGGGCTAGTGCCTGCGAGCTAGCTAGTGCTCGGTCGAATTTTACCGTGCATAACGCTGAATGTTATAGGAATTATATTGACCGCTGCCGGATAAAATTTACTCGGGATCAAAAGCAGTTTTATAATTTTGTAAACACTAAGCGTAAACACGTATCTTTTTCACCCCTGCTTACGTTTGAAAATTTCTCTGCGACCTCTGATCAGGCCATTGCCGATCTATTCGCAGAATTTTTTCAAACAATTTATTCTCCTCCTAAATTGACTGATCAGCCTTACGCATATAACATTCAAGCAGCAAATCTTATTTTCTGTCCGTCTTTTTCTGAGAACAACTTATTATCTGGTCTTTTAAGGGTAAAACCCATTTATTCGTCAGGCCCCGACGGAGTACCGGGCTGTGTGCAAAAATACTGCGCCAGGGCTCTGTGCAAACCTCTTCTAAGACTTTTCACCTTATCTTTGGAAACCTCGATTTTTCCCCTTAAGTGGAAGGAATCATTTATAATTCCCCTACATTAAAAATTGAAAAGTCCGAGGCTGCCAACTACAGAGGCATCTCTAAGTTGTCGGCAATTCCAAAGTTATTTAAAAAATTAATTACCATTTCATTTGCAAAAAATCATTTGCAACACCTTTGCTCTTCGATTATCACTCCTTGTCAGCATGGCTTTATTAAGCGTCGCTCCACCACCACAAATTTATTGGAGTTGACATCCTTTGTCATAGATGGCTTTTTTAAGGGATATCAAACCGATGTAATTTATACAGACTTCAGCAAAGCATTTGATTCAGTTAATAACTTACTCTTGTTGAGTAAACTGAATATGCTGGGTTTTCCTAAAGACCTCTTAACGTGGATTTTCAGCTACTTAGATGGAAGGAAACAAAGAGTCTTATTTATGAAGTCTTATACAGACTTCAGCAAAGCATTTGATTCAGTTAATCACTTACTTTTGTTGAGTAAACTGAATATGCTGGGTTTTCCTAAAGACCTCTTAACGTGGATTTCCAGCTACTTAGATGGAAGGACACAAAGAGTCTTATTTAAAAACATACAGTCCCGTCTGGTCCATGCTACATCCGGCGTCCCTCAAGGAAGTCATCTTGGCCCGTTATTATTTACGCTTTTTATAAACGACTTGCCCCCTGCTTTAACGAACTCTCTAGTTCTTATGTATGCAAATGATGTAAAGCTTTATCTTTAGTACAAATCCATCTCTGCCCAATGCAGTCTACTTTTGATCTTGAAAACTTACAAACTTGGATCAAAATGCAAGCTTATGTCTTTTTATGGTTCCTGCCCTCTGTTGGCTGTGTTTACTCTTTATGGAATTGCCTTAGAGAAATTAACTCAGGTTAATGATCACGGCGTCCTATTAGACATTAAACTTAAATTTGCCAACCATATTTCCTCAATGGTTAATAAGGCTAAAGGGGTCCTTGGTTTTATTAAAAGGTGGTCAAAAGAATTTAACGACCCATACATAACTAAAACCTTATTTATTTTTTTGGTCCGTCCGATTCTGGAGTACGGTTCATGTGTCTGGAGTCCTCAATATGGAGTACATCAGGACCGCATAGAATCCGTAAAAAAGAATTTCTTAACTTTTTCACTTAGAGGTCTTAACTGGGATGCTATCTTCACCTTCCATCTTATAATAGTAGACTCTTACTAATAAACTTACCTAGCTTAACAAATCGTAGGACAATGCTCGGTGTAGTTTTTCTGCATAACCTTACAGCCAGCATACAGTAGCGGACAATGAAATCCGGAAACCTAAGCACTTGCGCTAAATGTGAACTTTGCATTAGTGTGATAGGAGCGCATTTTATTATATCGAGCTGAAATTTTTTCGTTATATTCGGAAGGTATTGAGCTTTCATGATCTGAAAGCATTTTTTAAATTATTAAATTTCTTATGTTAAAAAAAAAATATTTTTTTTTTTTAAATATGTCGAAAATGACTGAAAATTTTCAAGGGGCCATATTGGCCTTCCAATCGAAAATCTTAAGCTTTCGAGGAATGAGCTGTAACGTTTGATTTATTAAGTCTTCTTTCGAGAATTTCCTACAAAATTTTGAGAAAACCAGAACTCTAAAGCATTTGCCAGGATCAGGAAAGAAAAAGAAGACCAACTACCACGAGGATCGAATCCTTTCATGATTATGAATGTCTGATCGTTTCAAATCAGCAAAACAAGAAGAAGTAAGTTTTTCCAGTTGTAAGGAGTCGAAATAAGCACTCCAACCGTTCGAAGGAACATTGAGGAGGCAGGACTTCATGGCCGGCGAACAGCGAAAGACCCAGTCTTGAACGGAAAAATGCTTCAGAAAAGGCTACAGTGGGTCAAAATGCACAAATCTTGGACTGTACATGATTGGCGAAACGTTTTTTGTAACGACAACAAAATAATCCATTTGTCTTACAATAGTATGACCTAGGTGGGCCCCAAACGCGACAAACGCTTCAAAAATGTCACCGACCGAATGGTCCTTAGATGCTTTTCTTACTATGGCGTTGGTGATCTGGCATTAATTGATGGAAGTGTGAATGAGGAAAAGTTCCAAGGTGTTCTGAATCGTCACTTTCTACCCTCAATGAAGGAGAATCTTTCTCATGCCCCAAACATAATCTTTCAGGACGACTCAGATCCTTGCTATCGTGCAAAAGAAAAGGGATATATTTATTTTTTTAATTCTTTAAGGATTTGTTTAAACAATAATTAAAGTTTTAAATTTATTTTTTTTGCCTACATTTTTGTTAATTTCATCGAATATTAAAGTATAGGTCTTATTTCCAAATAAAACAGAATGAAATTTAAAAGAACACGTTTTGAATTAACATTTATATTAATTTCATCGATTTAAAACAAATTTACTCCATAAAGTAAACGCTGGCTGAAAAAAAAACTATAAAAGTAGTATCAAATGTAAAATATAGGATTTTAAATTTCCTTACTAACTCCTCCTAGCTTAATAAACTACAAATAGCTTAACATATACTAATAAATCGTTTCTCGAGCGCCCTTCGGTCGTCTTAGAGGCCCAGCTTTATGATGAATACAGGAATGCTAGCTGATGCTCTAATTGATGCAAAAGCCATTTCCACCCAAATTTTCTCGCTCGAGGATTGACTCGGGTTTCTGGCGGAATCCACCTGCGACGCAACGACCTCCCAACCCAGCAATTTTTAGGGCCGTCTAACTCTGTATCAGTCAATATGACTGTTAGTTAAATTAAAAATATTAGATTTGATATACCTCTTGTTAGTCTCGCCAAGAGATTTTTGAAGAAAAAAAGTTTTGTTTATGTTACTGTCTGACCCCAAACACGTTGTGGTCATCAATGTTCAGTTACCGAGCGTTTTATGTAAAACCAGTACTCAGATCGAAAAACGTGTTGGGCGAATAAAAACGTTTATTCTTTTTAGTGTGAACGAATATTTTTTATACTCTTGCTGAGACAGCATATAAAGAATTGATCAGTTGGCGTCGCAAAATCAATGACCACCTCTGTGCGTTTGACTCTTAGTTTAGCGGATTTCAGCAGCTAAATGAGTCCCCAAAGGGTTCGGCTGTGATCCGCTTTAGCCATCTAAGCCAACAATTACTCAGCAGCTGATATATGTATGTATCTGGGTCGCCGTCTAAATTTCTTAGTATACGAGGGTATATATTGCTGGCCTAATAATGAAAATGCGAATATTTATGACTAAAAATGGTTTTGTTTTTCAAAGTATTCTCCAGAAAAACGTATACTCTTTTGCATGCGGTCAAACCAATTGTCGAAGCACTTTGTCCACTCCGATTGAGACAACTCCAAAACATGGTTTTGGAACGCATCAACAGCATATTCTGGCGTCGAAAATTGTTGACCACGCATTTTTCTCTTGATGTGATTTTCTCTTGAAAAATAAGTCATTGGGTGCCAAGTCAGGACTGTATGGCGGATGACCCATCAATTCGACATCTTGGCCGGTCGAAAAGGCGCTGGTTTGAGCTGATGTGTGAGAGCTAGCATTGTCTAGTGCAGAATGATCCGTCTTCTCTTGTTCTTTTTTCAAATTTACGCGAAGATTTGAGACAAACAAATTGTGGTGCACCACTCAGAATTCACCGTCCTATGTTGCTAAAGCGGAACAGTCGCCACCTGACCTGTTTTACCGAAGAAACAGGCCACCATTTGCTTCGAAGCGCTTCTTCCACGAACAACTTTCGTTGGATTTGGCGCGTCTTCGAAGACCCACACGGTCGATTGCTGTTTTGTTTCGGGCTCATAAGCATAGATCCATAGAATCCATGGATTCGTCACCTGTGACGATCTTATAAACTTCGATTTTTTCCTTTTTTTTTAATTATGTTAAAGCTTTTTCGTTAATTTAAGTATTAAACAAAAAATTAAACATTATGTCCGGAAGATAAAATTTTAAGGGAGTCCGTCCGTCATTTTGTCGTCCGACACTATTTACCCCATTCCGCTAATTTCTCAAATTAAAATTGAAAAAAAAAACACCTATTTCTACAAGAATAGTAAAAATGAATAGAATGAAATTTAGAATAATAATAATAATAAAGTAAATATAAAAAATAAAAAAATAATAATAATAAAAAACAAAAAAGAAAAGCTAACTTCGGACGGAGCCGAAGTTGATATACCCTTGCGGTTAAAACCGGATATATATCGCAAACATCGGATATAGTTGGCCGATCCTTATGAGAATATCATAATAAAACTACTTAATTACAATAAAATATCTAAAAAAAAAAGTCCCAAACTTCTATCTTCAAAATTACCAATGTTGGTATTTCTACCAAAATCACTTTCCGATCGTTCAGTTATATGGCAGCTATAAGCTGCTATATAGCTATATAGTAGGCCGATCCTTAGGAAATTTAGTAGGTCGGATTACCTGTCCAAAAATATAATCTGTATAAAGTTCCAACTTTCTATCTTCAAAAACACGAAAGTGAAACAGTTACATTTACAGCTATAGGATATAGTCGGCCGATCGGATCCTTACGAAATTCGTATCGTATTATTTTGCCGAAAATAGTATTCATATAAATTTTAATGTCATGTAACTCTCTGACACGAAAAACACCAAAGTTATACTATTTCCGATCAATCAGTTATATGGAAGCATTAGGATATAGTCGACCGATCCCTTCCGACTTGTGTTGGAAAGAAGGGTGTGTGCAAAGTTTCAAGTCGATAGCTTTAAAACTGAGAGACTAGTTCGCGTAGAAACAGACAGACAGACAGACGGACATGCTCATATCAACTCAGGAGGTGATTCTGATCAAGAATTTATATACTTTATAAGATCGGACATGTCTTCTTCACTGCGTTGCACACTTTTGTACAAAATTATAATACCCTCTGCATGGGTATAAAAATTAAAGCAAATGTAACTCATAAAGCGGTTTCCTTTGCTGCGAATCGAACCCACGACCTTTTGATTAAGAGGTGGACAGCTTAGACATAACCACTTGCTTTACCAACGCTTGCCACTTTTACCAGTTCTGCGCAAAATAAATTGTTGAGTGGCTAGACCACTATGAAGATTTGTATCAAATATTGAATAAGTACTACTTTGAAATTCAGTGCAGCAGTGGGCCAGAAGATTTCGTTCTCCTACTTTGTTTGGGAATTGATTCAAGATGTGTTTGTGTTTTTCGAACAAAAAGTGACGAAACTTCTATTAAAAGCCGGTGCCATGAGTTTTAGTACTGCAGGGACTTCATACTTATCTTGCACACATTCTAATGTTCAATAATGTCAAGGCTAAGCGAGCATATTGGTTACACAAAAAACTAAAACGATGCTTGCTTTGGTTTTACTTGTTTAATAACTAGATATTAAATTTTTAAATTTCTTTTGGTAACTTAAAATATTTATAATTAACATCTCTTTATTAAATAATTTAATAAAATCCTAATTAAATAAATTACTTGCAGGTGCTTGCGAAATATATAGTCTGCCTCGATTTCCATCAAAGCCCCAGTTCATTGCTGTACCATTGGCTGCAAATGATGAAAATGCTTCGACGTTTGCATTTGTGGGCCCTGCAAGATATTCTTGGAAAGAAGACGACATATTGTACGTTGGAACCACTTTTACCAACGTTGGAGATTATCGCCATGATGTCCCTGCTATTTCCTCTCGTCGCCTTGATGATTTAAATTATGCGGAGTTCTCCATTCAACAGTCAATTATAAATATCGATGTTAAGTATCGAGACCATTTTTTGGTCAACTACATTTATGGATTTAATTCTTCAGACTATGCATACTTCATATTAGTTCAAAAAAGGTCCCATTTAGCAGACGAGGCTGGATATGTAACCCGGTTGGCCCGTATATGCATCACAGATCCTAATTATGACAGTTACACTGAAATAACAATTCAGTGTACCGCAACTGAAAGAAATACAGATTACAATATTTTACGGGATGCTAAAATAACCCCAGCTAGTTATAAACTAGCTCATCAAATGGGCATAAAAAAGGATGATCATGTGTTGGTTACGGTTTTTTCTCCGTCAAAAGAAATAAGCGATCAACCGGAGCGGAAGTCTGCAATGTGTATATACAGCATTAAAGATATAGAGGATATGTTTATTGAAAATATACACATGTGCTTTAACGGAACCACAAAAGATCGTAACTTAGGATATATATCTGGCACTATTAACGATGGAAGGTGTCCCATTGTTGGCTCCCTTGGAAACATTTACAACTTTTGTTCCGTAGGACTTAAAATAAGCGGAGTGTCTCCAATTACAACTCAAGCACTTTTTCATTTTGACAATGTGTCCGTCACTTCAGTAACGGCGACGTCAACTACAGATCAACAACATTCGTTGGCTTTTCTTGGAACAGATAAAGGTACTATAAAAAAAGTTTTATTGTCAGGACAAAACCCAGGAGAGTATGAAGAAATAATTGTAGATGCTGGTAACCGGATATTACCAAATACTATGATGTCGCCAAAAAAGGATTTTTTATATGTTTTATCCTTACGAAAAATTACAAAGTTAAGAATTGAACATTGTTCTGTATATACAAATTGTTCAGCTTGCTTAGAATCTCGTGATCCTTTTTGTGGATGGTGTTCTTTAGAAAAACGGTGCACTGTACGATCTACTTGCCAACGAGATACTTCTGCCTCACGGTGGCTTTCATTGGGTAGTGGACAACAATGTATAGACTTTGAGTCAATTGTACCGGACAAAGTTCCAATTACTGAACTAACACTGCTACATTTAATTATTCGGACATTACCAGAGCCTTTTAATGCGAAATATCGATGTGTTTTTGGAAACTCCACTCCTATTGACGCCGAAATCCTTGAAAATGGTCTTGGATGCGCCACACCACCACTGGATCAGAGGCCAATTATTCCAACTAACACTGATCATGTTTTAGTTCCTTTATCTGTGCGAAGCTCCGAAACTAATAAAGACTTTGTGTCAAGGTCATTCGCATTTTTTGACTGCTCACATCATAGTAAATGCCGGGAATGTGTAGTCAGTTCTTGGGGATGTAACTGGTGCATTTTTGACAATAAATGTATCCACAAATCTCAACAATGCCGAAACATGGAAATCGCTATAAGTACTGCAGGACAGTGCCCCCATTTAAAAAAAAATAGTCAGCCAATTCTTATGCCTGTACGCGTTCCAAAAGAAATTCGCCTTGAGATAGAAAACTTACCAAAACCAAAAAATGCCCATGCCGGCTTTTTATGTACCATTCATATTGAAGCCGCTCAAATGCTTTTGCCAGCACATATTGAATCTAATAAAATAGTAGTTTGTGAAAAAACTCCTTACTTCTATGAAACAAATGCCCATGAGTATCAGGCTAAAGTTGTTATTACATGGAATTTTCAGCATTACGTGGACACGGCTATGGTTACATTGTACAAATGCGATGTGTTAGGTTCGCACAGGGATCACGCAGATTGTAGCTTGTGTGTCACTCGTGAACCAAAGTATCAATGTGCCTGGTGCGGCAATTCTTGTGTTTACAACGAAACCTGTAGTTCTGAAAGTAGTTTTATCAATGAAAGGCCACCAACACTTGAAAAAATTGATTGTCCCTTACCTAGGATTGATATTATCAAACCGTTATCTGGACCTATTGAAGGTGGAACTCTTGTGACAATTGAAGGAAGTAATTTGGGAATACGCGAAGAAGATGTACGCGGAAAAATATATATTGGTTCTATTCCATGTCATCTCGTAAGTTATCAAATATCTGTAAAAATTGAATGCCAGACGGAAGCAGCAATGTATGAAATGTCAGCCCCGATCAAGGTTGCGAACGATGCCGGATACACTGAATCTAGCGTACAATTTCATTTTAAGAATGTACAACTAACAGGCGTGTATCCGACTATAGGGCCAAGGTCGGGAGGAACGCAATTGTCTTTAATAGGAAGCTTTTTAAATATTGGTTCAAGTATACGAGCATATTTAGATGAGTATGAGTGTTACGTTAACGTTTCTCAGTCTTCTTCGTCTCAAGTTACCTGCACTACTTCAGAGGCAACACAACCGGAACCTATTCAATCCCTACGTTTGTTTATTGATGGTGCAAACCGTACATTAACTTGTCAGAGTTCAATTCAAAATATTACCACTAAAAATCGACTAGTAAATCCACTACGGAGTGATTTAAATGCATATCAATTCCGGATATTCCCCCGTCACATCTGTTCTGTTTTTAATTACACACAGGATCCTAGGATAATGCAAATCAAACCACTAAGGAGTTTTGTTAGTGGAGGCCGTGTACTTACTGTTCATGGAATGTATCTTGACTCCATTCAAAAGCCAGAGTTGGAAGTATTTTTTGATAGTGAAAGAATTAATAAAACTTCTTGCGTTGTTATTAACTCTAATCAAATGGAATGCCCTTCTCCTCCAGTTAACTTCAAATTTTATAATTTTAAAAATTTGAATGGAGTTTTGGATTCAGAATTTGACATAAGGAATTCTTCGGCAATGGAAACTAATGGTCCAAATAAAAGACAAAAGAGAAAAACTCGTCTCGTGGACGATTTTCATACATACAAGACAGGAGAAACGACATCAAAATATTTTAGTGGCAATAATATGGATGTTACAACATTCGTGAAGGTTCACGAAACGCAACTAAATTTGCAACTTAGTTTTGTAATGGACAACGTCCAGCTTGTGAGGGACTTAAATAAATATTTTCATGATATAAGAAGCACGATTGTTTATTTGACTGATCCAAAGTATTTTCAATTTCCGAACGACGGAATAAAACTTTACAAAGGTGATAGCTTAGTTATTGAAGGCGAACTTTTAAATTTAGCAGCAGATGAATATGATGTAAATGTAACAATTGGTACCACCCAATGTAATATAACAAGTCTGGCACTTACACAACTTTTGTGCATTCCACCGGAGCAACAGCCCCCCCCAACTGACGAAAATGGCGTAGATCAGACAATCGATTTACCATTAGTAGTAGTAAAAGTGGGTCGTAATCTTCGATTTGTCATCGGACATCTCAAATATGATATAAATAAACCGCACGCCTTTTCACATGCTTTATTTGGTGTTATGTTTACAATAGCTGTTCTTGTTGTTGTTTTACTTATTGTTTTAGTAATATACAGAAGAAAATCTACCCAGGCAGAGCGTGAGTATAAACGCATTCAGATACAGATGATTACATTAGAAAGCAATGTTCGATCTGAGTGTAAACAAGCTTTTGCAGAGCTCCAAACCGATATGACTGACCTGACAGCAGATCTTGAGAGCAGTGGAATCCCAACGCTTGACCATGTAAACTACATTATGAAAGTTTTTTTTCCTGGTGTATCAGATCATCCAATTTTAAATTCAGCTAAATTTCATGAAAGTTGCCCACAAAATAATTATGATGCTGCTATGCTTCAATTTGAACAACTAATTTGCAACAAATACTTTTTACTAATATTCATAGAAACTTTGGAAGCTCAGCGCTCGTCATTTTCAATTCGAGACCGTGTAAATGTTGCATCCTTGCTTATGGTTGTATTAATGAATAAAATGGAGTATGCCACAGAGATTTTAAAGTCACTCCTACTTCGGCTAATTGAAAAGTCGCTGGAAAGCAAACATCCTCAGCTTATGCTGCGACGTACTGAAAGTGTTGTTGAAAAAATGTTAACCAATTATTTGGCCATATGTATGTACGACTATTTAAAAGAATACGCTGGATCAAGTTTATTTCTTTTGTTTAAGGCCATAAAACATCAAATTGAAAAAGGCTTAGTAGATGCCATAACCAATGACGCCCGTTATTCCCTTTCCGAAGAGCGACTTTTACATGAGCAAGTTACTCATTCTGTTGTTATTTTGCATATCTTGCAAGATGATCTTGATGAAAAAGTCCAATGTCGCGTTAACGACTGGGATACGATTTCGCAAGTAAAGCTTAAAATACTTGATGCTATTTTTAAAAATACTCCGTTTTCAATGAGACCATCTATATACGAGGTCGACTTAGAATGGAGGCATGGTCGGGGGGGTCACCTAACATTGCAAGATGAAGACTTAACCACAAAAACCATAAACGGTTGGAAACGTCTTAACACATTAGCACACTATGGAGTCAAAGAATCCGCTGTAATGTCTCTTATTGCTAGGCAAAATGATAGTTATCATATACCCTACAGTAAGGGACATCATCCGGCACCATATCATAATTGTAAGTATGATTTTTTTATATCTTTGTATAAACTTTTTTTATATATTTTTTTTAACAATTTTTATACCCTTGGCCTATTATATTATATTTCTGTCCAAAAATGTGCAACACAGTGAAGTAGAAATCTCAGCCCCTATGAAGTATATATATTCTTGATCCGGATCACCTCTTGAGTTGATATGAGCATTTCTATTAAAAATATAGCTAGTAAAAATACCCACTTTGGTGTTTTTGAAGATAGACGTTTAGGATTTTTTTTTATATTTTGTATTGTAATAAATTGGTATTATGATATTATTATAATGATCGGCCAACTACATCCGATTTTATCGAAATACCTCCGGTTTTAACTGCAAGAGTATATTAACTTCGGCTTCGACCGAAGTTACTTTTCCTTTCTTGATTATTATATTTATTTATGTATAAAAAATATATCGATTCAACACCGTCATGATACGAGACGGTCAATCATGTATGTTTATGTGTTTCTTTGTTTGTAACCCATCACATAATGTTATCTCTACAGGCACAAAATTCGAGCGTTTTATCATTTTGGTACTTAAATATGTATATTTTGATCAGAATCTACAAAAATGTCGATTTAGCTATCTATCCGTCTGTCCGTATGAACGCTTAAACAGACTATAAGAAATAGAGATATAAGATTTTGAATGAACACTCCCCATAATACCTACGCACTTCAAGTTTGTTTCAATACCATCGGTATCACCCAATACATTGAAATTAGTTTAATGCATTGGGAGCGTTACATAAAGCGTATTTTGAGCGTGTGTCAGTGCGGCAGAGCTCGGTTAGAGAAATTTCCCATGCCCATGAAATAGGGAACTGCCGACGACTGGTATATACAGATGTGCAAGTTCTTTGAAAAGTATAACTCAAATTTGTTTGTGGTATATGTGTACATAATCCATTTTGTCAAAAATGGGAATTTTTTTTAAATCTTTCGTTTATTACCTGCATTTATAAAATTATTCCAAGTTAGCCTACACTAATTGTTAATTAATTTAATATACAACTATATCTTTCAACAAAAATTTTGTTTTATTTTTCAGTTTATTTCATTAACAATTCCCAGAGCCATATCATTATAAATAACGACATTGAGTCTGGATTGCAGCAGCCTCGAATTTACCATTTGGTTAAACCGTTAATACCTGATCATTATATGAATATAAAAAATTCTACTTTATCGGGACCGTCAACTGCATTGCAAGCTTCGCAATCTACAAGTTATTGTAATGAGAGAATAAACAAAACAATACCTGAAGTATACTTAACACGCCTATTAGCCACTAAGGGAACTATTCAAAAATTTGTCGATGATTTCTTTTCCATTATTCTAACTGTAAATGAAGAACTACCACCTGCGGTAAAATGGCTCTTTGACTTGTTGGACGAGGAAGCGTCCAGACATGGTATTGGCAATTCCGATATTGTGCATGCGTGGAAATCCAATTGTTTACCATTGCGATTTTGGGTTAACTTTATAAAAAATCCCGATTTCATATTTGATGTAAATAAAACATTTTCTGTAGACTCCTGTCTAAGTGTAATTGCACAAACCTTTATGGATGCTTGCTCTACATCTGAACATAGACTTGGAAAGGATTCGCCTTCAAACAAATTGCTCTTTGCAAAGGTAATTATGACATGCAATGAATTTTATTTAAGGCTAAATTAGTAATGACTCCAGCGGAGATAAGTGTCTTTGAGAATCAAGAATCTATATTTAAAAAAACGAAAGTGAGGTCATTTCCGATCGTTCAGTTATATGGTAGCTATAAGATATAATCGGCCGATCCTTATGAAATGCGGTATTTTGTACTATTTTGCCAAAAATGAAATCCCAACTCTCAAACTCTAAAAGTTCCGAAAACTCGAAAAGTTACGACTTGTAAATAGCGTGCAAAAAGAAGTATGTGCAAAGTTTGAAGTCGGAAGCTTTAAAACTGAGAGACTATTTCGCGTAGAAACACATACAGACTGACAAGATCCGTTATATGAAAGATTTTACAGAACATATATGGGACATCAGGGCCTAAAACGGTCTACTTTTTAAAGCAGTGGTGCTCGTCCCATTGCTCTCGCTGCTCATTTGTTTTTGCAAATGCTCATGCCTACCGAGTTGTGTGAGTCTGCTCACGCCATAAGATTCGTTGCTCACGCCATAAGCATCATTGGTCCCATCATAAGCGAAGCGCAATTGCAATAACAATTTTTCGTGTTTTCCCTATTCTCCTCAATCGTACTAATCCGAATGCATTTTGTAGTTGGAGTGCCGAAAACTTTTCACTGCAAGAAATTCATTCTTGTTTTTCTGCCAAAATGGTCGATCTGTAGCGATGAATTTGTTCTTCGCAGAACATTTTTTTTAAGTAAGAAGCTCTGCATATTTGTCATAGTATAATAATAAGCTATTGTAGGATATATACATAGGGCCTTTTTTTAATTGCTGTAATAAAATGTATTTTTTATTATATTAATATTTTTAAGCCCCTTGTGAATGTTACTATAATTTTATTTTTCAGTGCAGCCACATGGATGGGAAAAAAATTCTCGCACCAATGTGTTGGTATTTTTTCATTGGTATGGGAGTTTGCACTTCCGTATGCAGAGCTTGGGCAGCACTGTTTTAAAGGCTTGCGAAGGGTATTATAATTTTGTCCAAAATTGTGCAACGGAGTGAAAGAGACATCTCCGACCCTATAAAGCAAAACGCACACATGTTTAAAACTTGAGGGTTTGCGTAGCAGAAAAAAACAATGAGAGCGGAGCATTCACTGAGCGAAAAACGTAAATTTTTATTTCATTTTTTGTTAAGGGGGGACATCTGAGTAACAAGGGAAAAAAGCGGATTTTATGGATTTTTTTTGCCAAATGAAAAAGCCTATCGAAAATTTGTAAATTAGGTTTTATAATATTAAATGCGAAGTACAAAATAAATTTTTTTTTTTCGAATAAATCGAAAACAAAATGGCGGCTGTGCACCATTTGATGTATAACAAAAAATTAAGTTTTTGTTTATTATACCCTTGCAGAGGGTATTATAATTTTGGTCAAAAGTGTGCAACGCAGTGAAGGAGACATCTCCGACCCTATAAAGTATATATATTCTTGATCAGGATCACCTCCTGAGTTGATATGAGCATGTCCGTCTGTCCGTCAGTCCGTCTGTCTGTCCGTCTGTCTGTCCGTTTCTACGCGAACTAGTATCTCAGTTTTGAAGCTATCGTCTTGAAACTTTGCACACACCCTTCTTTTCTTTGCACGCAGTATATAAGTCGGAACGGCCCGGATCGGGCGACTATATCCTATAGCTGCCATATAACTGATTGATCGGAAATGGTATAACTTTGACGTTTTTAAAGTTAGAGAGTTCAAATTTGACATGAGAGCATTTTTTGGCAAAACATTACGACATGCCAAATTTTATAAAGATCGGCCGACTATATCCTATAGCTGCCATATAACTGAACGATCGGAAATGACCCAACTTTCGTGTTTTTGAAGATAGAAAGGTGGAATTTAGTACAGATTCTATTTTTGGTCAGTTGATCCAACCTACTACATTTCATAAGGATCGGCCGACTATATCCTATAGCTGCCATATAACTGAACGATCGGAAATTACCCAACTTTTGTGTTTTTGAAGATAGAAGTTTGGGATATTTTTAGGTTTGGTTTTTGTATTATATTAAATTGGGTTATTTTATCATATTTTCATAAGGATCGGCCAACTATATCCGATGTTTGCGATATATATCCGGTTTTAACTGCAAGGGTATATAAACTTCGGCTCCGCCCGAAGTTAGCTTTCCTTTCTCGTTTTTATACATCAACAGCTATCGACACACGTAGGATTTTTGCGATATATGGACTTTTTAAAAATGGTAAGAGATTACAAAAAAGTTAAAATTATAAAAAAAAAAATTGTTAATAACAAAAAGTAAGCAATATAAAAAAGAAATCCTACGTGTGACGATAGATAAAGGTATTTTAAATATAATGTGAAAATTCAAAATCGATGGGTTAAGATTTGTTCGAGTTATGTTTCCGACGGTCTCAAAAAAATTATTGAGTAATATTTCCTTTAAAGACATTCGATACATCCTTAAAAAGGTACTGTGCCACAGATCATAAATATGTTAACCGTTTTTTATTCAATAGTCCACTTGGTTTAGAAGTTGAAAAAAAAAATTAAAAAAATTTTTTATTATAAAAATTGAATCATAATTTTATTTGTAAAAATTGAAAAATAATTATTATTCTTATAGCTAACCATCGGAATTGGTATTTGGTAAAAATACCAACTTTTTACTTTTTGAAAATAGAAGTTGTATTGTAATAAATTGGTTATATTATGATATTCTTATAAGAATCGGACAACTAAATCCGATTTTTTCGATATATATTCGGGTTTAATTGCAAGGGTATATCAACTTCGGCTCCGCCCGAAGTTAGCTTTCCTTTCTGATTTTTTGTCTCATTCCTTTTACAAAAAATAATTGAAACAAAATAAAAAAACAACGTGTCTCGAGCTCGATTGGATCTCGTTTCACTCTGCACACGGACCGTTCACTCTACCACTCGGCTATCGCTGACTCGTGGTCGTGCAAAACATTTCTTAAACTTAGCTTGTCGTCCTGTGAAACCCGCACGTCGGGTTCCATCCCAGGAAGTTGGAATATAAATATTAGAATATAAAATAATTATTTCGTACTTCAATTATTACGAAATTTTAGTAAAACGATTTATACTACCGTTGTTGCTAACAAAGATCAAACAAAATTTTATTTTCAGGATATTCCAAATTATCGAATAATGGTAAAGAGTTTTTACCGTGATGTTTCTCGTCTTCCGCAAATAAGCGATCAGGAAATGAGTACAGCTATGCAACAACTGTCTGTAAGGCAGCTCGACGAATTTGATACCATTTCAGCTTTAAAAGAGTTATATATTTATGTAACGAAATACAAAAATCAGGTCAGTCCTAAAAACTATAATTATTTGATCAAACATTCAAATATAAATATTTAGATTATGGAAGCTCTTAAGTCTGATATAAATAGCCGAAAAATGAACCTTTTTCAAAAACTAGAAAATGTTGCAAGTACACTGGATGGCGAGGAGATTTCAAATTGCTGACATGAATCTTTTTCCGAGGTAAATTTTCTCATTTTAACTAAAAATTGATTTAATTTATCAATTTTACAGAGCGAAAAAAAAAGTTGGAGGAAATTTTGAAGAGACCTAGTAGGAATTGTTTATTATGTCGAATATAGTACAAAAACGTGTTTTTATACCCTTGCAGAGGGTATTATAATTTTGTCCAAAAGTGTGCAACGCAGTGAAGGAGACATCTCCGACCCTATAAAGTATATATATTCTTGATCAGGATCACCTCCTGAGTTGATATGAGCATGTCCGTCTGTCCGTCTGTCCGTCTGTCCGTCTGTCTGTCTGTCTGTCCGTTTCTACGCGAACTAGTCTCTCAGTTTTGAAGCTATCGTCTTGAAACTTTGCACACACCCTTCTTTTCCTTGCACGCAGTATATAAGTCGGAACGGCCCGGATCGGCCGACTATATCCTATAGCTGCCATATAACTGATTGATCGGAAATGGTATAACTTTGGTGTTTTTAGAGTTAGAGAGTTCAAATTTGACATGAGAGCTATTTTTGGCAAATTATTGTGACATGCCAAATTTCATAAGGATCGGCCGACTATATCTTATAGCTGCCATATAACTGAACGATCGGAAATGACCTAACGTTCGTGTTTTTGAAGATAGAAAGCTGAAACTTAATACAGATTCTATTATTGGCCAGTTGATCCGACCTACCAAATTTCATTAGGATCGGTCGACTATATCCTATAGCTGCCATATAACTGAACGATCGGAAATGGTACTTGGTAGAAATATCAACTTTCGTATTTTTGAAGATAGAAGTTTGGGACTTATTTTAGATTTTGTATTTTAGTAAATTGGTTTTATTATGATGTAATCATAAGGATCTGCCAACTATATCCGATGTTTGCGATATATATCCGGTTTTAACTGCAAGGGTATATAAACTTCGGCTCCGCCCGAAGTTAGCTTTCCTTTCTTGTTAATCTTGATTTATTAGAAAAAATGATTCCGTTTCTACGCGAACTAGTCTCTCAGTTTAAAAGCTATCGTCTTGAAACTTTGCACACATCCTTCTTTCCTTTGCACGCAGTATATAAGTCGGAACGGCCCGGATCGGCCGACTATATCCTGTAGCTGCCATATAACTGATTGATCGGAAATGGTATAACTTTGGTGTTTTTAGAGTTAGAGAGTTCAAATTTGACACGAGAGCTATCTTTGGCAAAACATTACGACATGCCAAATTTCATTAGAATCGGCCGACTATATCCTATAGCTGCCATAGAACTGAACGATCGGAAATGGTTTTTGGTAGAAATACCAACTTTGGTACTTTTGAAGATAGAAGTTTGGGACTTTTTTTTTTAGATTTTTTATTGTAGTTTATTGGTTTTATTATTATTTAATCATAAGAATTGGTTTGCGATATATATCCGGTTTTAACTGCAAGGGTATATAAACTTCGGCTCCGCGCGAAGTAAGCTTTCCTTTCTTGTTTCCATTATTTTTGCAATGAGTGGGAAAAGCGTTATAACTTCAACAATTTTCAATATCTTCAAAAACACGAAAGTTGGGTTATTTCCGATCGTTCAGTTATATGGCAGCTATAGGATGTAGTCGGCCGATCCTTATGAAATTTAGCACGTCGAAAGGAGCTCTCACGTAAAATTTGAACTCTCTAACTCTAAAAACACCAAAGTTATACCATTTCCGATCAAACATTTATATTGTTCAATAAAAAATTTCAGCCTGGGATTTAATTCAGAAGAAGGGTGAATTTGAAAGAAAGCAGCAGACAGAAGGGTGTGGTTTCAAGGTTTCAAGTCGATAGCTTTAAAACTGAGAGCCTAGTTCGCGTAGAAACAGACAGACAGACGGACATGCTCATATCAACTCAGGAGGTGATCCAGATCAAGAATATATACATATATCATATATCATATATATCATTTTTTTTTTAAATACTAATAATAATAAGCAGCAAAAATATTGAAAACAAAAGGTACCGGTGAAAATTTAAAATAGGTTCGTAGTATTATATTATATAAATAGGTGACCCGACAAATGTTGTTTTGCCACCAGATGACTTTATAATTTCGGTACTCACTTCTAGACTTATGTATTATAAAGTTATCTGGAGCGCTGTGAACCATGAGGGAATATAAAAATAACAAAAGGCAAACGATATTTTAAAGTTATTATTTGATCGTAATTCAGCAAGTCAATCTCTTAGTGCTATAGCGTGAACAATATTTTTTGTTAGTCCATCTTTAGCTAACACAAACAAACTGGATGGTTTACCCACTCGAGAGCACGCCGCGTATAATTGGCCGTGTGAAAAACATGGTGTTCTTAAATCTAAGCTACAAATAGACATCGATTGACCTTGGGATTGTTTGATAGTCATTGGAAATGCCATTCTTTATCGCCGCCCATAAAGAAGATTTGTAAGTAAAATGATATTTACATTTTATGATAAACTTGGCCTCTGATTCTGAATGTAGAATTGTAATGTTGACCATTTTCATTAGTATTTCAAACTATTTCTGTTGCTCCGAACGATGCCATTTGAAAGCATGAATTGAATGTTGGAATTGACTTCAGGAACAATCTGAATCCGTGCCGATAAATAAGCCGGTTCAGGTTCAATGGTTCAGGGGGTGTTTCAATTTCTAGTAGTTGCACTTTTCCTGACGCGCAACACATCCCATTTTTGAATTTCTGAGCATAACAATGCGGACATTCCTTGTCCATAGCACATATTACCACTTTTGAGTGAGCCTAATACTCAATATCAGGCTCATACTGGAATGCTAGACGCAGGAATGAATAAGATATAAATGCTCGATGTACTTGTTGTCGTTGTTGGTCATTTGTTCTGCGTCTATTGACTGTGAAACGGCGTGATTGTCGTTGTTCTAATCTTCTAACTTCATTGCGTTCAGCTCGTGTATCTTCTGGCTCTTGATGCAATTGCGCTATTCTAACACGTACATCAGTATTTTGTTGCTGGATTTGTTCTTCGGTTCTTTCCGATCTTCTATTTCGCATGTTTCGAGATCTACTTCTATCACGGATCATATCACCCCATTTTCTTGGCATTGCTCACTTTACAAAAGACTCATAAATAGAATTAATTTATTTACTTAATGTGAAAGATTTTTGCCCCAGTTTAAATTGATTGATTGAGTTTTGTCAGTTTAATTGAAATTGAGTTTGTCAGTGTAATGAGGTAGTAACTTACTTTATATGCGATTTTTGGTATGTGGAACATGATTTAAGAGGATGAAAAATAGATGTTGGCGGATTCTCAGACCTACTCCATACGCTCACAAAATTTCATGAGAATCGGTATAGCCGTTTCGAAGAAGAAGTATGGTAGCAAAAACTGTGACACGAAAATTTTATATACATATTAATAATAATTATTTAATATATAGATATTCCAAAATTGAAAAGAATGTTACCAATTTTGGATGAACTTTCCATCACTCCTGAGTACCAATTCGGATTCAGAAGAGGCCACGGCACAGCAATGTCACAGGGTCATTAATGACATAGTTTCGGCGTTTGAAAACGAAAAATACTGCACTGCTGCATTTCTTGATGTTCAACAAGCGTTCGATCGAGTTTGGCAGAATGGATACCTGCTCCGTATTACTTATTAATTAAATCATATCTGACTGAACGATGTTTTTACGTGCAGCAGAAAAGCGATACTTCAACAATAGTTCTCATTAACGCAGTCAAAGAAGCGTATTGGGACCTATGCTTTATACCCTATATTCACCCGACATGACAGTTACAAACAACTCCACTGTTGCAACATATGCGGATTATACAGCCGTTTTGGCCTCAAGCACAAAGTACATGTGTCAAGTATCTGGCCTTGCATCTTGACCGCAGACTAACATGGAAAAACAACATTAAATAAAAATGTCTGCAACTGAGACTTAAAACACTAAAAATGTTCTGGTTGATGAGTCAAAAATCAGAAACCACCTTGGAATAACTGAAGCCCGAACTGAACTGCTAGCAATTCAAATATTCAGATACTTCAGCGTTACCATTCAAAAACTTTGCGACAAATTGTCAATGCTCCTTATTACGTATCTATTAAAAATATTCACAAAGATCTTAATATCCCAACTAGAGGTGGGCACGGGCCGTGCTTTTTTTTCGTGGCCAGCGGGCTTACACAGGCCCGGAACGGGCCCGGGCATTAAAATGAAAATTCGTGCGGGTTTTGTGCGGGTCCAGGCCTTAACAAAAAGGCCCGGACCGTAAAAACCCGAAATAGGCCCGTAAAAGCCCGAAATAACCCTGAAAACAATTTTGATTTGATCGCGCGATTTTTTTTTGTTATTCTTAAATTACAACCAGTCAGGTTTCTTCCGGCAATCGCTAATTTGGTTGGACTTTTCTTGAACCCTTCTTATAGAGATATGAGTTTCCTCTCACAGGAAAAAAAGGAAAATGTGATAGCTACGGTAAAAACAATGCTCTCCGAATTTATAGAAGATCATATAAAAAGTTTTGATGACGTAACTAATAACATAGGCTCAAATAATTCCGAAAATGGAATGTTTGTTGAATTTTTAGACTTAAGTTATGTAAAAACAAGAAAGGAAAGCTAACTTCGGGCGGAGCCGAAGTTTATATACCCTTGCAGTTAAAACCGGATATATATCGCAAACATCGGATATAGTTGGCCGATCCTTATGGGAATAGGAATATATACTCCAATTTATTACAATACAAAATCTAAAAAAGTCCCAAGCTTCTATCTTCAAAAATACGAAAGTTGATATTTCTACCAAATACCATTTCCGATCGTTCAGTTATATGGCAGCTATGGGATATAGTCGGCCGATCCTAATGAAATTTGATAGGTTGGATCAATTGACCAAAAATAGAATCTGTATTAAATTCCAGCTTTCTATCTTCAAAAACACGAAAGTTGGGTCATTTCCGATCGTTCAGTTATATGGCAGCTATAGGATATAGTCGGCCGATCCTTATGAAATTTGGCATGACGTAATGTTTTGCCAAAAATAGCTCTCATGTCAAATTTGAACTCTCTAACTCTAAAAACACCAAAGTTATATCATTTCCGATCAATCAGTTATATGGCAGCTATAGGATATAGTCGGCCGATCCGGGCCGTTCCGACTTATATACTGCGTGCAAAGGAATGAAGGGTGTGTGCAAAGTTTCAAGACGATAGCTTCAAAACTGAGAGACTAGTTCGCGTAGAAACGGACAGACAGACAGACAGACGGACAGACGGACATGCTCATATCAACTCAGGAGGTGATCCTGATCAAGAATATATATACTTTATAGGGTCGGAGATGTCTCCTTCACTGCGTTGCACACTTTTGACCAAAATTATAATACCCTCTGCAAGGGTATAAAAAGAAAAGTTGAGAAAAACGATGTCGACATAGAGCTTGAAAAATATTTGGCCTATCCAGTAGCTCCTGGTACACATATTTTATAATTTTGGAGAAATGCAAGGGACTTACAATACCTTCTCAAATTAGCTCGAACCATTCTGGCTTTTCCAGCCAGTTCGTAAAAAAACATAAAAAACGCAATAGGCTAAAAAACAAAAATTAAAAAAAAAATTTTTTTTTTTTTTTAAATAAAAACATGACAATTAGGTTTAATAAATATGAAATTATATGTATGTATACATAAATAACATGTGTTTTAAATTTCCAAATATGTGTAAATAAGTTGCGTGCCGGGCCGGGACGGGCCCGGGCCTTGGTGAAAAAGTTTCGTGTGCCGCCGAGCCGGGCCTCTCAAAAAAGATTTTGTTTTCGTGCGGGCCCGGGCCTCAAAATACAGGCCGCGCCCACCTCTAATCCCAACAATAAAAAAAGAAATAAATAAAATTCGTAAAGAATACATCGACAGACTCCGTAACCACAAAAATAAATTAGCCTTTAGTAGACAATATTTTAACAATAAGAAGACTGAAAAGATATTACATACTCCATCTCCCCGATAGATATATAAATATAACCAACTGAGAAAATGTTACATATATATACTTTTTCTTTTTTTTTTTTTATTATGACAGGGGTGTATTTATTTAAGGGGTTACGCCACCCTGATCGCGTGGAAACGGGACGGTTTTTCAGGAATTTCTTGTGACTAAACTAGTTGAGATAGGATTTTTCCACTTTTACTTCTATTCAATACAACTAATAAGCTTTATAAATTCTAAAAAAAAACTTGTTTTCAATGCAAAATGGCGGAGATATGAACAGAGTGACGTAGCCGTTTAAGAAAAAAAAAAAATTACGCAAATGAGAGCACTTCAAGAATTGACTAAATTTTTTGGGCAAAAAATTTCGTACTAAAAATTGCTTAGAGGTGGAGTAAGAGAAATAAGAATAAGAATGTCTAAGAGTTATTCCGGATGAGGTCTAGCGGGTGAGTTCTGCGCAGCCTCCGTATCTGTCCGCTGTTGTCGAGGAGAGTGGTCGCCAACTCAATGGGGTTGTGTAGTCTCTGGACGTACTTGCTGCTGCTTCTCTAGATCTCCTCCTTCACCCATGGGAAGCCAAGCACCTCGTTGATTGTGTGGTTGTCGTAGTAGACGTGGGCTCCAGTGGCGATACGAAGGGTAGAATTTTTTTCAAATTCTATTAGGCTCTATTTTCAAATGTCTGGATAGTCCGAATATTAGTCTTGCTGGCCGTGCCCCAAAGTTGGATCCCATATGTCCAAATTGGCCAAATAATCGTCTTGTAGATTAGGATTTTCGAAGAGGTCCCAAGCTTCGACCTCCTACCCATCAGCCAATAGTACACTTTTAATCTTACTTCACACTTTCGCTTTTTGACTAGGTTAGGGTTTAAAGTAAGCCTCCTGTCTAGCATGAAGCTCAGGTATCTTGGGTTTTCTACCTGCGGGATGGAGGAGCTGTTGAGGTGGACCGGTGGGTAATTTCCTGGACGGAAAGAAAATGTGGTGCCGGTGTATTTATCGTTATTCACTTGAACATTCCATATTCTTTGCCAATTGCCGAGAAGATCTAGTTGCTCCTGCATGACAGTAGCGTTGTCAGCAGCGGTCGGGAAGGCGGTATCGTCCGCATAGGTGGCTGCCATTATGTTGGGGCAAGACTGGGAGATCGGCCGCGAAGAGATTGTAGACATTGTGTAGACATTGTAAGGGCCCAGCACACTGCGTTGGGGGACTCCGGCGCGGACCTTCCTGAGGTCCTGAATCTCTAAGGACCTATTGTAAATTTTCGTCAGTAGGTCGACTGCTTGGAGGTGGCAGCAGTTTTAATGCGGTTGTATTGATACCATCATCGCCCGGGGCCACTGAAATCTGGGCGACTGTCTCCTCTTCAGTCACAGGTGGTATTCTGTTGTCGCCTCGTGCGGGCTCTGCCAAGTCGTTCCGTTTCTGCTGCCTCTTCTGG